TAGCTATTATATCCATGAACCTATCACACTATTCAACAGGGCAACCAACTTACTGCCCATTTGATACAAGCAAAATTCCTGACCTTATAGACTTCTTTATTGTGAAGGGCATTTCCTCCAACTTCAAACAAATTGAAGCCTCATTGGATTTCAGCTCAGACCACAGTCCCATTGTTATTAAAATTAGTTCACACACTTTTGCTGCAAAAGAGCAAGTTAACTTCACCAATTTAAAAAACTGACTGGGAAGAATTTCAGATGTATATTGAAGAGAATCTAATGATTCATATTCCACTGAAGACTAAAGATGAAGTAGATGAGACAGCATGGCATTCCTCTCCAAACTGTAACACTAAAAATAATAATGTATATTATCCTGAATATATCAAAGAAAAAGTCTGTCACAAGAAAATTATAAATAAGAAAGAATCTATCAAGAAACAAGGCATCCACTTGACAAAAGAAAAGTGAATGAGTAACAAAGGATTTAAGGTTGGCACTTCAAGATCTGAAGAATGTTGAAATAAATAAATATCTTAAGAATCTATCTGCCTGTAAAAAATCAGAGTATTCATTCTGAAAGGCAACAAGAAGGTTTAAAAGACCAATTCAACCAATCCCTCCAGTATGCAAAGTTGATGGTTTGTGGGCAAGAAGTAATACAGAGAAGGCAACAACATTTGCGCAACATCTTGCAAAAGTGCTCCAGCCATATCCACCCACTGACCCAGAAGCGGAACTTGAAACATATCTTCAAACACCCTTACAAATGTCAGTGCATGTGAAGACATTCACAACCTACGAAATAGAAAGAGTAATACAAACACACAAAGCCCCAGGTTACGACTTCATAAATGGCGAAGTGCTGGAGAAATTACCTAAGAAGGTCAACATACTAGTAACATCAATATTCAATGGTATTTTAAGAACTGGGCAATACCCTTCTCCGTGGAAAGTAGCTCAGGTAATTCTTATACCGAATACACAACATCTCATCGTATAGATCTATCAGTCTGTTACCTACAATCTTGAAGGCTTTTGAGAAACTGTGTTTGCAACGCTTAAACGTCCACATAAATGAAAATAATCTTATACCGAGTTATCAATTTGGATTCAAGAAATCTCACACCACAATCAAACAAGTACATAGAATAGTAAACAAAATAAATAAAAGCTTGGAAGAAAAAAATTACTGTTCAAACGCCTTCGTGGATGTTGCCCAAGCTTGTGATAAAGTGTGGCATACTGGTCTTTCTTACAAAATCAAAAGCTCATTAAGAACATAATACTTCGTCGTTTTAAAATCATACCTCTCTGAAATATTTTTTTAAGTTAACCATCAAGAAGCATACAGCACATTTCCCGTTATGTCTGGCGTGCCCAAAGGATGCGTACTGGGTCCTGTCCTGTATTTACTATATATAGCAGATCTTCCAACATCTGAAAATATCACCACTACAACTTACACGGACGACATGGAAGTTCTAACTTCTCATGAAGATCATGAAAAAGCCTCAAAATTGCTTGAGCAACTTTAAACAAATTATCAATGAAGTTCAAAAGGTGGAGAATCCAAATTAATGAAACAAAATCTTCTCATGTGACTTTCACCTAAAAAAAAGAAAACTTGCCCTCTAATTACAATGAATAATAAATTACTGTCACACGCAGATACTGTTAAATACTTAGGAATGCACCTTGACAAACTACATTGGAAAAAGCACATAATCACAAAAAGAAAAGAATTGGAACTCATGTTTAAAATAATATACTGGCTACTCTGTCACAAATCAACTATGACTTTTAAAAACAAGATTTTTCTGTACATAGTACTACCGTTAATGCCAATTTGGATATATGGTATCCAATAATGGGATACTGCAAGCCACCCGAATATCGAAATCCTACAAAGGTTTCAATGTAAATTGCTACTTACTAATGCTCCTTGGTTTATCTATAATACAATCCTTTACAATGACCTACAAATTAAAACCATTACAGAAACAATAAACAGGTTAAGTTGCAGATACCATCGCAGGCTTGAGAATCACTCCAACTACCTGGCGCACAACCTACTAGGCAACCGCCAAGAAATCAAAACAACTTGCAATATACTCACCACTTGATCTCACATCCAGATTCATTTGAGTTGCCACAGAGCAACATCACTGTTGTAATTATAAATTAATTTGTTTTTGTATATTATTAAAATTCACCAAAAGTTCAAATTGTAGAACTAAATATGAATAAAGCAAAATGAATAAAACAGAAAAAAAGGAGAAAATAGAAAAGAAAAATCTTGTTCAGCATTACGTTAAACGATCCTCGAGAGTTCCGACTCCCTGTATGCACAACCTTTTAGTTGTTAAGAAGAGAATCAAAATACTGAAGTGCAGAAGTAGAGCATTTCTCAGTAAAATATCAGAAACACTTGAAACACTTGTTCATCTAATTGAGAAGACAATCGTCTCATCTCATTTTTCTCCAAAGGTGGAAAAGTTGCATTTTGAAACTAAACCCCTCAATTATACCATGAGCATAACACATTTTTATGTGGGAGAGAGTTGTGGAATGTGTCCATAACAAACCTTAGGCAGCTTGCGAGTTGAAGTGGAGAGTGAGGGAAAAATACATTAAAATATCACTAAAAGATTTATTTTTATGACATAACATTCTGCTTATAATTTCAGAAAATAGTGATCTTGAAGAACAACGGAGGTCCGCCAGTTAACCAGGTTTTCTTCCTTAAGTTTTGGAGAACCACACTTATTGTCTCAACCTTATTTCCTTATTTTTCTCTTTTGCATTTTGCAACACACAAGGTAATCTTTGTTTTGAAAGTTCAGCATCTTTTCTAGTGATTGTGGTTTCAAGCTTTATTCTCATTTTTAATGAGCAGGAGCTGAAGGAGTAATTATGTTATTTTGTTCTAGAATCAAAACTGTGTTTTTGGCCATCAATGTTGCAGTTCTGTGCGACACTGGTCTAACCCATTTTATGATGTGTCAAACTACAGAATTTAATTAATTTTACCCTTTTCATTTCATTTTAAGACAGTGTTTCTTGTATGACAAACTAATGTTCAGAGAAAGTACTGATTAAAACAAAGTGAATGTAAAGGAAAAATATGAAAAACTGGAACATGTCAACTTCGAAGTACCATATCTCAGATTCGAATGAATGAGGGTTTGACCACTGTTGAGCTTGACCTTTTAATTAAACTCATTTGTCTTTTATTTTACTTAAACACTTTCATATCCTACTTGACCTATTGTAAATTGTTGATTAAATTTATGTAAAATTCAAAACGAATAAATTAAACTGCAGCAATATCAGAGTTATATTTTGAACGTAAATAATTGAAGTTTTTCATAATCTCTTAATATAAAAAGTTTTATTCTCGAACAGCGTTCATGAAGACAATGGTGAAGAATATTTGCTTCTGGTTTTTTTCTCTCTTTTGTGCAAAAGATACATTTATATTTATGATTTTTATGTATCTATTAAACAGATGCACATACCTACTTCAATTGCCAATTTTAAGCATACATTGCTTAATTTTTATTTCAACAAGTTTGTCTGTTGGTGATTGTTTTATTTTTTCGAAGATGATGATTTGAAATACATATTTTCTTCATATACAGTGAATTTAGGATTCAGATGTTTTCAGGTGTACTATTGGTAAAATTGCTTCTTGTTTTGCAACGAACATTTATTCTTTTCAATTTTTGTTTTTTGATAATTATTATGTCATATCTTCCTGACATCAGTTAAAAAGTTTTGATAATTCCAGTACTCGTGTGAGATATTTGGATATCCCACAATCTGATTTTTGTGGTTATTTGTTGGAGAGAGCTTTCATGAAAAGAGATTTAAGTATCTTTAATGAAGTTGTAAGAAGTGCATATTATTATGTGTACATGACTGAAATAAAATGCAAGATGTTATTTTACGAAGCTGCCTTGGGATTTGCATTCCCCACGTGAGCATCTAAATTGCTTCTAACTTATTTTATTGTTGCTGAAGCCCAGTAACACTAATTGTGTTCCACATGATTTGCTTTGCTCGTGGAGTGACAGTGATAATCAGTTTAGAATTATAGTGCTGAGGCTTTCATAAAAGCAGCCAAAGTTCTTGTGAACTTTGTATAAATTGTAATGGTAGCAAATTCTTTCTTCAGAATTACAGGTACCACAGGATTACCACAGAACTACCACAATATTATTGCTTCGCATTAAACGTAATTTTCACTCTTCAGTCTAGAAAATCCTTTCTAGTTTGCTGTGTGACTTCGAATAGAGCAGATGCTGTACGTATCTGGCAAGGTAGTTAAGAGGACACACACACTATAGCCTTGATTGTTAGCAAGCCTGTCGCACAAATCTTTACAATTGTATTAGTGTTGAAGTTGTATTAGTCATTTCTTTTTTGTTCTTAAGTTTACTTTATGAAACAGTTGTGTACTTATCTTTTTCTGATTTTTGTTTTTGTTTCTTACCTAAATTCTCCCTAGGTTAATTGTTACTTTTACATAATTACTTGGTTTGTAATGACAATTTATTGTTGATAAAGATATTAGATGAATGTATCGTATTGAACATAATATATAATCTCTTCTCTGCTGACCTGGATGGCTGAGGTAGCTAGAGTGTTTGCCAACTCAGCGCCTTGGTCGGGTCACAGATTCAAGTCTCCCCATGGGCATGATTGTTTGTCCCCTTGTCTTTCATATATGTGTGGAGCACACGGGTGTGTCTAGTGAAAGGTTAATATGTGTCCCCATAAGGGACAGAGTGGGTACCAGGCATGGATGATCAAAATTGGCATCCCCTGAAGTTGTAAAAAGCCTCAGGAAAAAATTCTTCTATCTCTCTCTGTCCGTCTCTGTCTCATCCTGGTGAATGTAAATACTGCCTGTGAATAAACTTGTCCCTAGTTATTGCTGGAGTAGTAGTGTTAACTATGAATTAATATCTTTAATAAACGTTTTCATGTTTCAGGTGTAAAAAGTTTCCCTGGATGTTGCAGCCAGAGTTTTGAGGGACAGTGCTTGTGGCATGGTGTGGTAACGGTAGGCTTCTTTTGTTGTTTTCGGGTAGATGGTACCCTCAATATCTGGTGCGGATGATTTGATAATAGAAACTATTTTGTATTTTCTATATTTCTGGTGATTGTCATTAGATTATCCAAAGAGACTTACAATAGCAACTACAGTATTATTTTAGCATAACACTTCAGTTAGTTTTGTTAGACACTTTGTATTTGACTGTTCATAATAACTTGGTTACAAACCAAAGGTTGTAAATGTTTCAGCACTGAAGGATGCTAGCTCATTCCGAGATTTTGATGTCACCTTCTGTTGTGCAAAATTGCTTGTTCTATAAATTGTTGAACGAAATGTTAGTAGAGAGAGTTGGTCAATTAGCATGGTTGGAAGTGAATGATGGACTAATTTCTATCACTTTACGATTTCCTTGCTTGTAACTGTAGTAAATTGTATTTCTCAAAAAAATGTGATTTCAGAAATATGTTTTGCATTCACAAACTTTTTCTATATCAATATGTAATGGGAATGGTAGATGCTACTGTTCATTTAGTTTTGTTGAGTAAATTATTTATCCGCATCTTCAAATTCTGAAAGATAACAATTTTGTGTATTATTCATTCATAAGTTTGTATTAAGTGATCGTATCCACAGGAAACAAATATTACCCTAATTTTTATATAGCTGCAAAATAAAATAACAATTGTGTTAATGCAAAGAAATTTGGTACATATTTAAAATGTGACCATTGTCTAATATTAAATAAGGTATACAAGAGTTTAAATCAGGTAAAATATACTATGTTAAAAATTTAAAATACAAATGGATGTTCTTATTTAAATTTTGTAACTACCTCTTCTAATGTATAAAGGTTTAAGTAGCATTTTGAATTTCTTCATAAAAAATCTAGATAGTCTTTTTAAATGTATCAAGATGACTATTGTTTGTCAGTATTGTATTATAGACTGAAGTTGCTATTTCTGTTTTAATTTATATTTTATGAGGATATTGTTTTAACTAACCTTGCAAAATGAAATAGTTTAATCATCCTAGAATGTAGATTAGGTTATAGACTATTAAACATATTCTGATTTGCTACATCAAAAAACAAAGGAGCCTAGTGGATTTATTCAGAATAAACTACTAATATTTCAAAAGCTTTGTGTGGTACAGTGTAGCATCAGTAATTCATACGTCAAATACCTGGATTTGATTCTGCCACCTATATATATTTAGGCAGTACATATATATACTTCACTGCATATACTGTATTTTGTTGTAGACCTAGATCAGGGGTTCCCAACAGTGTCTGTATTGACCCACTAGAAGTCACTGAGGATTAGGGAATTGATTAGGAATTCAAAAGCTGCATATTATAATAATAATAATAATAATAATAATGATAATGTAATAATATTTTTTATTGTTTATACAACTTGGTTCAACAAGCTTCAAAGTCAGTAAATACATTATAATTACATTTCTTACTATTACATCTTGTAAATGAACTTTAATAGACAGCATTATAATATGTAGAATGTCTTTAAATAATGATAACAGTAACAACTATAAAAGAACAACACAATAACAATTATATTTCATGTCATATTTCACTTAATTTATATGGGCAAATCTCAATTATGAATGCTTTTAATAATTTTTTGAAATTGTCATTAGACCCTACTTGTTTTAATATTCTTTAGGAGTTTATTATGTATTATTATTTTTCTGCAGGGGTACTTGTTTGTTTTTCCTACATACAGCCTGGGGTATTGAATTTTTTTAAAAATTTGATTGCTGTTATTTCAATATATTATATAATTTATTTGGTCCCTTGTTATTTTAGACAGTAGAATCCACTAAATAGACTTGATCCTACTAGTTAACTTTGGTACATATGGCAAATGTATTTTGAATACATCTTGTGTTTTGTCTCGGTTATTGGAATTCATAACTAAAAGATGTTTTACATGTTATTGTAGATAGGTTTCACTACATTTGACTGGGTAATTAATTTTAGAAAGCATGGTTGTCATTTTTTTAAAATTTTGATGGTGGAATTTTGGCGTTGACAATATTCCCTGATCAACTAAACCATTAATTATACCTATTTTTTAAGGGACCGGGTATTTAGATTTAAAATTAAGTGTAGTTCCTATATGTGTAGACCTCTGATACTAATTTGTCAATAATGTACCATTGTGACTACATACTGTGGTATCTAAACACTTAATTTTCCCATTTACTTCCTTTTGAAATGTGAATTTAATATTTCTGCGGTAGCTATTAAATTTATCAAGCATGTTACAAATGTTATTTTCATTTCTTATTAAAGTGTCATCTACATACCTCTTGTAAAATATTAAATCTACCCCTTGATAATATTGGTTTCTAGTTGTCTTAAAACAATTTCTGCAAAAAAATTGCATTCTTCAATTGGTGTGCCATCAATTTGTGGGAAAAAAAATTATTAAATCTGAATATTAGTTTAATGGCGTTCATGATTTCAGTTTTTGGATGAGGTAAAACTCATCTGGTTTCATTGAGATATGATTTGATACCATCAGTTATCAGATTATAAGAAATAGATGTTATAAATAGTATTTACTAATTCAAAGCAATTTTTGGTGGAGTATTCATAGTGGGTACTTCAAAGAGGTTTTAATATTTTTCCTGACACCCTGAATGTGAACTAATGGTTGAAACTACAGGTCACATTGGAAAATCAATCTTGTGTAGTTGGGTAAATGTTTAAACATGCTTTATTGTCAATAAACTGTTAGTTTTTCCATTGTTTTATAATACCTTGAACCTCCCTAAGGTCACTATTTGTAGTGTCTTTCTTTATTACTTTATACATGTGTGTGTGTTAGTAAAATGTTCTATTATACTATAGTACAAGCTCTTCTCTATAGAGCCATTCCATGTCAAATTGCACAAAAAGTACCAAATTTTATCTTCATATTTTTAATAATTTTCTTTTCTTTTCTTTTTTTTTTTTTTTCTTCAATTTATTATATTAATGAAATATGTTAACATGTGTGTTTTTCTTTTTTCTAACTTCATTATTTTTGGAAATCTTCATGTTGAATTTTGCTAAAAATAACTCGCATCACTACATCACTCACTTTAACCCACTGATGCACCAATTCCTAATCCCCATTAATACAGAAATGGGGCCTTTTAGGCCTAGTACTTTTCCGTCTGTAATCAAGAAGTTAAAGATTTAAGGAATTGTACAAATTTGAATAAATTTTATTCCTGTATTTAGGTATTGTTCATAAACCATGCAAGTAAACTAATCAGTTGTTAACAATTTATTAAATAAGTTATTTACAATTTTGGCACAACTTATATACCGACTCCAAGGGCATAAGTGACACCTGTTTATTTTGCGAGTGGTTGTTTCCATTACTTCAGTAATCGCTCTCATGAATCTCAGCACTTTCAAAGCTGGTAGTGTTAGCATGGACAAAAGGATTGTTTTATCTCTTCCCCCCTTTTTGACGTGAGATTTTAAGGCATAATTGGCTCAAAAACATTTTCCATCTTCCAGTATTGTTTCTCTCAACAGTCCTGGTTCGTTTGTGAAAATATCGTATTATGAATGCATTGAGGGCGGCAATGTCAATCATATTGAAGAAAAGTCTTGTTGGCCATTGTTGGGTGACAAACTTCTGCAAGAGTAGTCATCAACCATTTCATCCATTGGGTCTACTCAAATTTTGGTTTTGTTGTAGTTACAGATCATTTCTCTTTCTTTATTTTAAGTAATATATAATATATATATATA